TCAGTGTATATATATATATATATATATATATACACCACAGAAATAAATTATATTATTACTTAATATTATATTAATTTATATTTTTACTGGCAACAAAGTCATACAAAGTCATTGTGAACATTTGTTAAATCACTCAGCCTTACTTCATCCAGAAAGCATCCATATAAGAGGTCTGGTTAGTAAAAGGTGAGCAAACGAACAGCCTCTGAGCCTCATGCAGCGCTCGATTCATCATCCGGATCCTGTGGGCCGATGCCAGCACTGGCGTTACGCACACAAGATGATTGTGTATCATATTTTACACTCTTGGACTCATGCAACCAATTTTCCATGAGAGGCGCTCCGGTAAGAAAGTGTGGGCCAAGAACACGTAATGTAAGTGTAATTTATGTAGCTTTCACGGGAGAACAGCGTGTGTGGAGACGACTCACAGGTGGCAGGATCTGAGACTGGGAAATGATGCTGTTGGGAAGGCTGTTCGGACGACTCGTGCTGGAAACCTCCGCCCATGTGACCTGGAACCCCGTGACGGGCTGAAGCGGCTGCGCTCGCGACACCCTCCAGAGGAAACCAGCTGTCACGTTACCGTCGTGGAAGCTGAAGGTCGCTGTCAGATTCTCAGGCTTAGCCAAAACCTTCGACGGCGCTGGGGTGGTTTGAGAAAAACATCAAATATATCAGGAGGACAGCAGAGAGTTAAGGCTCGGACCACACAAAACCACACGAAACACTTCGGGATCCAATCAGACTGCGTGCATGAGGATGCACCGATTTTTATAAATATGACAGGTAACAAAAGAACGACAAAAATACATTCATATTATGAAAAATGAGGAAACTAGTCAGTGAATGAAAGTTAGAGAGGGTTTTATTTGAAGTACTTAGTACCAGGGTTATTACTGTTAACTAAGACTAAACATTTTGAAGACTTCTTCAGTGCTTGAAATAAAATATAAACAACTTATTTTATTTCAGTCAGTTGCCAAGGCAACATTTCTCAATTTAATTTAGTTTAAGTTGATTGTATTTAAAATAACTAAAGTTAAAATAAAAATGAATAAAAACTAAATAAACGTATTTAAAAAAACTAACAAAAATGAAATCACACAACAAAATTAATACAACTTTAACTAAAATTAAAATGGAAAATAAAACTAATAATAGCATTTAAAAATGAAAAAAATAAATAAATAAAACTTTAGAATTAAAATGGAAAATAAAAATAAAAATAAAATTTTTAAAAAGTGAAAACAATAAAATTACTAAAACTTTAACTAACGGAAAACAGAAATTATAAAATACAAAAATTAATTTAAAATATGAATAGAATCTATAATAGTATATCAATGATAATAAAGTAACACTGGTATGGGCTCAAAAGGACACTCAATCTCAGTTTTATTTCTTGTTAACTAAAATTGTCTGAAAAAAAAAACATTTATGTAAATTGACAAATTATAAATGTTAACTAAAAATAAATGTTAACGGAACTAAAATAAAAAAAAACAGTTATACTTTCAGTAAAAATTTCAATTAGATGCCAAGGCAACATTTCTATCTAAAACTGGAAAAAAAATTTATAAAAACGTAAAAAAAAAAAAAAAATGACAAAAACAAAACAAAATTAATCAAACTAAAACTGAAATAAAAATTACTATAAACTATGTAGACATTTAAAAGAAAAACTAAAACTAATGACAAAACAACAAAATTATCAAAGCGTTAAATAAAAATACAATGAAAACAGAATATATATATATATATATATATATATATATATATAGATAGATAGATAGAAGTACTAAAAGTACTAAGACTGAAATAAAAATTAAGGAAAAAATTTATAAAAACAATATAGACATTTAATAAAAATTACAAAAACAAACAACAAAAAAACTAAAACTAAAATATAAAAATAAACATTCAAAATATTGATAAAAACTATAATAGTAGATCAATGATACTAAAATAACACAGCTGGTACAATGTAAATATAATATGCAGCCATAAAAAGCTATAATATAGTAACAAAAATAAATGTTCTCCTAAATAAACCTGAATTTTTATCTCACTTTAACCCCTCAAATGTCTAAATGTATGAAGTGTATGAAGCCGCATCCTGAAAACAAACACTTCCTGATGAGTGATAAACGTCTCCATGCTCACCGGTGTCTCCGGGACAGGCGATGGGTTTGACGCTCTTGCTCCTGAGAGTCGCGCAGGACGGCGTCAGGAAGCTGGTGCTCTCATCTTTGGAGCGTCGTTTGGCGTTGAGCGTGTGAACGGTGACCCTGTACTTACAGGAGAACAGCAGACCGGGCAGATTGATGAAGTTCTCCTGCAAAAGACAAACACGTTTATCAAAGAGTGACGCTAGCAACGTTAGCAACCGTCCTAAAACACAGACCCAAGCAATGCCTAAAGATATGGAAGGTGGACAGTGCCAAAAGTCTTTAAACGGAATGCGTGAAATTTGACGTGTCAACATACACTGTTTGTCGTGTGTATTACACGTTTATCAGTTCAAAAGTATTTGAGACTATATTTGCATATGTGACATGATGGTATGTTGGTATATATATACGTATACAAACATCAGATTTCATATTTACTCATGAAGGATGTCGTAATGGTACACTGGTATGCATGTCTGCAAACATCAGACGTTATATTTGTTCATGAGGGATAGTACATGGCATGTTGTGTGTGATGTGAGTCTTATGTCATGATTTGTCATGTCCTTATTAGATGTTTACTTTAACTTTGTTTTTCAGGTAGAAAATTCCTAATTTACATCGTTACATTAATTAAATTACTCTAGCACAGTAGACTAAATAAACTAAAGAAAGGATTCATATGTGGCTAAATCTAGAGGTAAATCTATTTTAAAAAGTATTGCACGTTTGAACACGGCCAGAATCAAGAAGTCAAGAGACGCGTTCAAATTGGTCTTAATGTAGTAAAACTCTTCATCTGTACACATACTACAGAAACATGGCAAAAACTGATGCCTTAACACGGCCATAATCCGCGTCTACACGTACAAAAGAAACACATTCAAAACTGCTGTGATAACATGGATGAACAGTGTGCATTGACATCAATTGACATTGCAATCAAATTTCATGTGTTCCGTTTAAAGACTTTTGGCCCCGTCTGCCTTCCATATAAAAGCTGCATTACATTCATGTATTACATCTGATCAGTTCATTCCCTGGGAATCGAATCCATGACCTTGGCATCACTAACACCATGTTCTATAGTTTGAGCTACAGAACACCCTAGCAACCACATAGCAACAAAGTAACAACCACTTAGAACATTCTAGCAACTACACAGCGATGACCTAACAACCACCCAGAACACCTTATAAACTGCAAAGCAACATTCTAGCAACCCCATAGCAACTAGAACACCTTAGAAACTGCATAGCAACACATTAGCAATCACCCAGAACACCTTATAAACTGCACAGCAAAATTCTACCAACCCAATAGCAACTAGAACACCTTAAAAACTGCATAGCAACACATTAGCAATCACCCAGAACACCTTATAAACTGCACAGCAACATTCTAGCAACCCCATAGCAACTAGAACACTTTAAAAAGTGCATAGCAACACATTAGCAACCACCGTAACGTCTACATAACAATGCCATAGCAACCACTTGGAACACCATGGAAACTGCATAGCAACACCCTAGCAAGCACCCAGAACACCTTAGAAACTGCATAGCAACACATTATCAACCACTTAGAACATCTTGGCAACTACATAACAGTGCCCTAGCAACCACCTGGAATGCCTTAGAAACTGTATAGCAACACCCAGAACACCTAAGTAACCCCACAGCAATGTCCTGGCAACCACCCAGAACATCTTAGAAACTGCGTAGCAACACCCTAGCAACCACCCAGCACAGAAAACATTAGAAACTGTATAGCAACCACCAACAACACCTTAGCAACCCCATAGCAATGTTCTGACAACCACCCAAAATACCTTAGAAACTGCATAGCAGTACCCAAGCAACCAGCTTGAACACTATAGCAACCCCATAGCAACATCCTGGCAACCTCCCAGAACACCTTAGAAACTGCATAGCAACACCTAGAACAACTTAGCAACCCCATAGCAACACCCTGGCAACCACCCACAACACTCTAGCTTTCACCTAGCAACCAGAACACTCAACAACAACAGTTAACAAGCAAACAACGATCCCATTTTCTTTGGAAAAGTTAAAAATTTAGTTTTTCAGTCATGAAGTGGGACGACACATTTAAACACGATGATTCCCGGCCGTCTACAGAAAGCAAACGTACGTTTCCTAGCAGCTAGCGTGCGGCGCGGTGAAGAACGCGGCTCGGGGCCGCAGGTTCAGGCTCCGGTGGGGCCGCTTTGGGGGTTTGATAAATTAAATCCCGCTTCCTGGAAATGTGATTTTAATGCTTGTGTTTTCTTAGGCACTGGAGCACATTCTGAGCACATCATCTGAAACAACACGCGCTAATCAGCTTCAGTAATGAAGAGAAATGAGGCTGTGCTCCCGTAATAGACTCTGCGTTTCTGGAGAGCAGAAACTCCTCATGAACACTAACACACTGACCTGAGTCACTGATTTCTGCGGCGCTCCGGTTTGGTTGTGGCTGCAGTATTCAGGCATCCACTGAACATGAAAACGGTTCACGACAGCATCTGCAAATCAAACATCAACACAACTTAAACATCTCACAACACACACACAGCCTGATCAGCATATATTTAGTGAGGAAAACATCTCTTGATTATTCAAACTAGATTTTGATACAGTAGATTAATCCATTACTGATCCCAAATTACATGACAAAAATTGTAGTTAGTAACGTAATCCATTAAATTACACATTTTAGGTAATATAATCAGACTACTTTCTGATTACTATTAGATTACTTTTGATGTAACTCATTTATCACATTGATTTAAACACGATTATCTTGTACCAGATTGATATATAAAATACAAAGAGAAAGAATAAGGTTCAGGCTCCGGTGGGGCCGCTTTGGGGGTTTGATAAATTAAATCCCGCTTCCTGGAAATGTGATTTTAATGCTTGTGTTTTCTTAGGCACTGGAGCACATTCTGAGCACATCATCTGAAACAACACGCGCTAATCAGCTTCAGTAATGAAGAGAAATGAGGCTGTGCTCCCGTAATAGACTCTGCGTTTCTGGAGAGCAGAAACTCCTCATGAACACTAACACACTGACCTGAGTCACTGATTTCTGCGGCGCTCCGGTTTGGTTGTGGCTGCAGTATTCAGGCATCCACTGAACATGAAAACGGTTCACGACAGCATCTGCAAATCAAACATCAACACAACTTAAACATCTCACAACACACACACAGCCTGATCAGCATATATTTAGTGAGGAAAACATCTCTTGATTATTCAAACTAGATTTTGATACAGTAGATTAATCCATTACTGATCCCAAATTACATGACAAAAATTGTAGTTAGTAACGTAATCCATTAAATTACACATTTTAGGTAATATAATCAGACTACTTTCTGATTACTATTAGATTACTTTTGATGTAACTCATTTATCACATTGATTTAAACACGATTATCTTGTACCAGATTGATATATAAAATACAAAGAGAAAGAATATATATTTTGTTCCGCAAAACAAATCGAACGACACTCTTTAGAAAACATAGTGGTCAAAAAGTGAATTAAAATCATTGTTATTTTTCTAAAGTGGACTAAATATTTGAAAATCATTTTAATAATAATAATAAATCTATAGAATAAATAAATAATAAATAACATTTTAATTTTCTAGATACTTTTTAGTCATTTTATAAATTAGACTAAATTAAAAATGAGAAAATATATAAAATAATAAATAATAATAAATTAATTAATTTGTTCTAAGTTTTCTGATTTGTGCTATAAAAAGTTTTTAAAAACATTTCATCCTTCATCTCACTGTTTTATCAACTAATCATTTTTAAAGACTAAATTAAAAATTAAACTAAATAAATAAATGTAATTATTCTAAATGTGTGCTACAAAAAGTTCAATATATTTTTCATTCTGCATCTTACAGTTATTTATAAATCAACTAGATATTTGTCCTAAATTAGACTAAATGATTAAATTACAATTTAAATAATAAATAAATTTAATTCTTCAATATTTTCTAGCTTGTACTACAAAACGTTCAAGATATTTGCTTATTTGTCGTCCTGCATCTCGCTGTTTTATCAACTACGCATTTTTCTAATCTAGACTAAATTGAATAAAAGAAAAATAAATATATGCAATAAAAAATGAATAGTCATAAACAGTGTTGGGGGTATAATACGAGTTACGTAATCAGATTCCTTTTTAAGTAACTAGTATAATGAATGCATTACTTTTAAATTTCCAATTAAATATTTGAGTTACTTTTTAAAATAGGTAACGCAAGTTACTTTGTTTTCCCATTTATTCACTGACACCTCTCCTGTCCCCGTGTTGAGAGAAATCGGCCTTTACAGTTGTCAAAAATATAACTTTTGGTGTTTTTTTGTTATTACAAAGCCCAGGTGACAACAAGTAACGTAATGCATTACTTTCCATAAAAAGTAACTAAGTACTGCAATTAGTTACTTTTTCATGGAGTAATGCGATATTGTAATGGATTACTTTTAAAAGTAACTTTCCCCAATACTGGTCATAAACAGAAATATTGATCTACAGATGTTTACTTAAATACTTTATATATATATATATATATATATATATATATATAAAATGATACAATATGTGACGATGCAAGTGAATTATATATATAAAATTATACGTGTGTATATATATATTAATATTAATATTTGGTTGTTAATGACGTAGATGCAATATGTGACGATGCAAGTGAATCGTGACACAAATGAGTCACAAGACGAGAAGAACCACAAAAAGAAAGCAGAAACCTAGTGGCCCAAAAATGCCATTAAAATCACTGAAAGATGCGAGTTGCATGAACAGCAAGAGTAAATAATAACAGTATTTTAATGTTTGTGTGAACTGTTCCAGATGGTTTCTATGTAGCGTTTATCCTCATGAAGTACCTGCGCGTGTTTCTTGGAATCAGGCATTAAAGTGAACAGCGGCACGAGTCTCATTTGATTGGTTTCCTCCTGCGCCGGCGATTACAGAACAGTAGTCTCGCTGCGCTAATCAGCCGTGTTTATGCAACGCCTCTCGTTTATTATTCATCAAGCTGCGCCGTTTGGATGTCAAACGAAACATTTCAGATTAGACTCGACTGAAGATAAAAGAGCCTTTGAAGGAGCCGACGCGAAGCTCAGAACATTTCTGGAAGCAGAAAAAAGGAATCGCAGCTGAAAAAATGGAGTTAAATAAACAAGTGCTGTGTCCGAAAGCTAAAAAACGCTCATTCTCACGCCGTATTCAGAGGAACGTCCAAATCCAGCGTTTGTCTTCTGGTGATATCATATGCTAAATTTTCCAGTTTGAGCTATAAAAACATTTTGCCATTCTACACCTTTTTGCCATTTATTTATTTCTAAATTTCGACTAAATAAAAAAGTAAACAATGCATTAAATGGTAGCTAATAAATAAATTTAATTATTCAAAATTTTCTAGTTTTGTTCTAAAAAGTTCAAGATATTTTTTCATCCTGCATCTCACTGTTTTATCAGCTAGTCGTTTTTTTTTTAATTCTAAATTAAAAACTAGAAAATTTATGAAATAATTAATAAATAATAATAAATTAAATTGTTCAAAATGTTCAAATTTTTTAAATCTTGCATCTCACTGTTGTATCAACTAGTCATTTTTCTATATTAGATTAAATAAAATATGAAAATTAATTAAATAATAATAATATAATACATTATTTAAAATAGTGTAGTCTGTCCAATAGAAATTTCAAGATATTTTGTCATCCTGCATCTTCCTGTTTTATAATCAAGTCATTTTCCTAAATTAAACTAAATTAAAAAGTAAAAAAATAAATTCAATGATAAATAATAATAAATTAAATTCCAAATCTTCTCACATTTTCATACTGTATCTCACTTTATGTCACAGTCTATTTTCTAAATTAAACTGAATTTAAAAAAAATATACAGTGGGTACGGAAAGTATTCAGACCCCCTT